TGTATACGCTAGGCAATTCAAGAGACATCGGAGGATTGTATTGCAATAATATAATGATCAACCAATTTGCCGTCGCCAACAAACTCTCCTCTTTATGGGATCTACTTGTATAAATATGCATATATGTTACATCTAACGCGCGTGAGTAAAGAAAAAAATTCAAAGTTGCTATATTCTCCCAATCAATAGTTGTACAGTAAGAGAGGACTATGATAGACAAAGAATAGATGCGCGAGTGTCCTAGTGTTGTCAGCATGGCGAATCAATTAATAAAGATAGCATGCATTGTATAATACTCTGCCAAACGCTATTAAAGATGTACACTTGTGCGATCATCTTGAAATCACTTCGTAATGCGCTTCGAAAATGGTGTACTGGAACAAGGATGCTATTTACGCATTATCAAGTTACAAAATTTTGGCATGGCTTGTAGGAGTGTGGCCAATTGATGATAATATCTTTTGTTCAAAAATACGTTATTTGTTTGTGATTGTAAGCGAGGTAAGAGAATATATTTTTATTTTTAAATATATCATATAAATATTATGTAAATATATATGATATATATATATATATATATACATACATACATATATACATACATACACATACATATATATGTGTGAGTGCGCATATGTATACATATATTATAAATGTATATATGTTATATACATTTATATTATATATATAAAGTATTTCAGGCAATACTTTAGAGAATGATAGATCTTTATAAAAAAAGCAACTTTTGTTAAGGAACTTATATTCTCCGTTACACTTTTGAGAAGCACGTCCTCATTCGGACTAGCTGTGAGATACACAACAATCGCACAATATAATGTGTGATATCTGAAAACTTAAGTTCAAACTTTTGATCCTTTTCTTTCTTACAAAAAAAACAAAATCAAAGAACGTGAATTAGTATTGTTAGATATTAAACGCGACCGAATGAATTGCTCCTTAAAAATGTGTCAAAACATAGGTTCCTTACCAAAAATTAAATTCTTTAACAAATGTTGATTCTTTTGTATTAAAATTAATTATTCCTTAAAGTTCGTAATAAAATATTTTTAAAAATTAAGTACATATTTTTTATATTGCTTTTGATAATTTTTAAAGTAAAAAATATACCTAAAGAGATACATTGCTTGTATTGAGTAGAATAATACAAGCTTACCTATTTGATATAACTATACATCTTAAATACATTTTTGGGAGTATTATTTATCTTTATTATTGCTACAAAATATACAAAAATATTTACATTTTATATAAAATATGAGTCGCAAGCACAAGTACGTTTTATATAAATATAAAAATGTACTTATGAAAAATAAATTTTTTTTGTAATTATCACAAATAAAAAGTTGCAAAACATTTGCCGCAATAATCTATACAAGGTGTTTCAAAAATAGTTGGCCAAACTTTAAAAGCATATTTCACTCATAAATATGAAAAAAAGTCATATAAATATAAATTCGGAAACGCTTTCTTTTTAAGTTATAAATTTTTTTTTATTTTATACTTATATCTATATTTTGTTTTATACTTATATCTATATTTTGTAACTTTTTAACGAGTAACGTCCGACGATCAAAACTTTCTCAAGGTCACTCAGAGTCATGACCATGACAATATATGTTAAGGTTATTGGGGGGAGGCTCCTCTAAACTACATATTTACCCATTAAATAAGAAATGTTTATAAGCGTTTACAAAAAACCCATGTTTATATGACTTTTTTTCATTCTTATAATGAGTGGAATATGCTCTTAAAGTTTGGCCAATTATTTCTGAAACACCCTGTATATTACTATTTTAGATTTTGCTGATGACAACATTGTTGATGGATGTCTACCTCGCTTGCGAAAACTCCTCTGAGGATCCGATTGACACGTACGTGGTGGCCTCAAGCGCAATGCTGGGAATTATTAAACTTACTATGCTGCAAATACAACGATCTACACTTTCGATCAATCTATGCTCTGCTATTCAGGACTGGTGTAACATCAAGGATGCGAGGTCGCGCGAAATCATGATCCAGTATGCACGCACAGCGAGAATAATTTCGCTGTCTCTGTTTTACTGTGGCTTCGTCTCCCTTACATTTTATCTGTTGCGACTTTTACCCTTGATAAATGCTACAGCCAACGGAAGGACGTTTGTCCTTCCGATGACCTGTCTCTTCGAGTCCGTCTCCAATCTCCAGTATATCCTCATTACATTCTACCAGGTGATTCAGTTGTTTGTAACATATGCTGGAAACTGCTGTACAGAGGGAATTTTTGTCGGTATCACAATGCATCTGTGTGGACAGCTCAAACTTCTGATGAGCGATTTTCATCAAATCGATCACAAGTATAAACGTAAAGGAGGCAGCATCATTGAAGAATTCGTCGTAAGACATCGAAAGTTGTTAAAACTCACGGAAACTGTCGAAGATTCTTACAGTATAATTATTTTAACTCAGATTTTCACCAGCGCTATTTTAATATGCATAACAGGTAAATCTATGAATTATATATTTTCGGGATTTCTTTATGTATAGGAAAGTTTATGATATCCAAAAGAAATATAAATATATGTATATTTTTAATTATTGCCTCAAAAAATCAAAATGTACAATATATATATATATATAACTTACATATTTTTTTTGTACAATAAAATTACAAAGTCAGTTTTTTTTAAAAATCGTTGTGTTGTAAACATTGTTTAAATAAAAAAAAATTTTATTGCAAAAAAAGCGTCTTCAGTTCTATGT